GCAGAGTCGTGAGTGAGAAAAACATCACAGTAGTCACAATAGTGTTTCTACACTGCGATTAGTAGTTATTGCACAAGATAGAATGATACAACGTACAGGCATGACTGGGTCACTACTAGTACTGTTGTTGGCGAAAGAAGGAGTTGGGTATGTACAAGCTGTCTGAGTTCGAAAGATAACTTACTGCTTACCTCATCTCACCTACACTTCAATGGATCCTTCATCGTCGGGCATCCAGGAGCCTTTCGACCTCATCAGATTATCCCTCAGCGAACGTGTTTTCGTGAAGTTACGGGGAGATCGCGAGTTGACTGGCGTACTTCATGTTCGTCGACTCGGTGTATTTCATCAGCTCGCACGTACTGAATTATTTTGGTCTACAGGCTTACGATGGTCATATGAACCTTATTCTGAGTGATGTTGAAGAGACCATTATGATCGTAGACCCCATCGAAGGAGGTATGGATGGACAAGGAACCGTCAAAGTAAGTCTCAAGCTTGATGCTGAGCAACGAGGCATTAGTTATGACTTTGTAGGTGGCCAAGAGAAAAATGGAGATGTTGTTCGTTCGGGGAGATGGCGTTATCCTGGTATGCGAATTTTATAGACAACTCTTGACTAGTAACTGACTAGACGGTAGGTGTCACCACCATCGCGGACTTGAATATCTCAGGACGTTGTAGGCGTCGTAAATCGATACTTTCTCTGCCAGTATATTTTTCGGCAACAATCCCCTTGCATGTATCTCCAAAGCGTCTCACACATGTCCTTGTAATAATTGGATGGTAAGAAGTAAAAATGCATTTAATACATAGTTCTGATCGAAGAGGGCGTGATACATGAAACGATTCATTCCAAGATACAATACTCCTACACCTAGGTTGCAGCTATTACAAGTCCAGAAGGTTTGATTTCATTGACCTCAGTTGGCACTCCTTGAGAGGCAGTATTGGGAGAGTTAAGGTTCATGGTAACCGGGGGTGAAGGTCCAGGCTGGTCTGCTGCAAGATCCTGATCTGAATCTGGAGCTACTGCGCCAGAAGGCCAAGTATCAGGGTCTCTGAGCCAACCAGCATGGATGACTTTAATCTTGGACACGCAAGAAAGTAGAAGTAAGATGGTAACAGATAATTTTGAGATGAGGCGGAACTTACTACGAGAGTTAGGGGAAGGCTACGTTTCAAACGACCACCATTTACAAGACCCTTCCAGACCTTCTCAATTCCATCCTTCCAAGCTTGTTCATTATTGACGGCACCTGGCTCACTAAGAAGTTGCTCTAATCTCTGACGAGACGAGGATGGAGGAGAGCGGCGATGGACTTTTGTAGGAGTGAGCCAGAGAGCCCGACGGGCGGCATAATGAGCTGGACCAGAAGGGGGAAATTCAGGGTTGGATATCAGAGATGAGCTGGTTGATCTGTTTGGGGATGGCAGTGGAGTATCCTTTGGGCGACTACGGGCATCACGGGAATTGAATTTTCCTGCAATTTTGAAAAAACGGGAATTGGGGGGAACTGGGGGAGCTGGGCGTTGTAGGTTAGTGGTATTAGAGACAAATTTGTCTAGCTTGTTGGGTATCATGAAAGAGCGACAAGTCCTTGGTCGGCTAGGCCAGGCTTGCTTAGGCACGCACTCAACACAAGGACTTTACGCGTATATACAAAGTACTAAAATTAGTCATAATACAAAATTAGAAATTAATTCCCATATAACTCGTCAGCAAAGGCTACCGGGCTCGGACTGCCTGAGACTTGCCTCCTCAGTTACGAGCCCAGGTATGCCATCCGCTAGGACTTCAAGGGTATTTTACCGCTTGAATTCGCCGTCACAGTCTACTACTTCTCTTTCAGAGAATGAAGATGACGATATAAACAAATCTTTGTTTTTTGGTGGTCCAGTTTCCTCTGTTGTATCACCCGCTCAATGGGCTTCTCGCCTACATCACTCCGCAGATGGAGCAATCCATTCATCACACTCTCCCATGTCCCAAGTTCCCCCAGAGGTCCTCATTCATATCCTCAAACACTTACACACTCCCAGAGATCTCTATCATTCATTATTAGTTTCGCGCTCTTGGTGCGAATGCTCCGTCGAGCTTCTGTGGCACCGCCCTGCCTTCACAAGACTTTCCACCCTCGTGAAAATGATGAGGGTACTTAGCCGAGGCGACCAGACTTTCACTTATAGTCGATTCATTCGCCGTCTCAACTTCCTCTTCCTCGGTGCCGACCTTACCGACGCCCTGTTCTGCCGCTTAGCGCAGTGCGACCACCTGGAACGCTTGACACTCGTGAATTGTAACTCTATCTCCGAAGATGCCCTTCTTCGCGTACTACCTTGCCTCCCAAACCTGGTCGCTATTGATCTCTCAGGAGTCATCGAAACTTCTGATCAAATCATCATTGGCCTGTCATCAGCCGCCAGGCGCCTACAAGGCATCAATCTCGCAGGATGTAGACAGGTTACCGACGCTGGCGTGTATGCCCTAGCTTCTAGCTGTCCCCTTCTCCGTCGCGTCAAACTCAGTGGCGTTGATCAAGTCACGGACGGTCCTGTTTCAGCTCTTGCCAAGTCTTGCCCCCTCCTTTTGGAGATTGACTTGAATAATTGCAAACGCATTACAGACATCTCTATCCGCGACATATGGACTTACTCTACGCATATGCGTGAAATGAGGTTGTCCCAGTGCATCGAGCTCACCGATGCCGCCTTCCCGGCGCCAGTCAAGCCTCAGGTGATCCCACGGAATAACCCTTTCCCAGCCGGCCCCCTGAGCCAGGATGATGGGCTTCCACCTTTGTTGATCCCAAGGCCCTTGGACCATCTTCGTATGCTCGATCTGACCGGTTGCGCCCTTATCACGGATGATGCTGTAGACGGGATTATTTCCCATGCCTCGAAAATTCGGAACCTCGTTCTCTCAAAATGCATCCAATTGACGGATAGGACTGTAGAGAATATTTGTGTTCTCGGCAAGCATCTGCACTATTTGCATCTCGGACATGCAGCCAACATCACGGACCGCTCGATTAAGACACTTGCACGGTGCTGCACCCGCTTGCGTTACGTTGACTTTGCAAGTACGTCCTCTTCTCCTTCGCAGTCCAATATAATTTAATTACATACAACAGACTGTGTTCTTCTCACTGACATGTCTGTCTTCGAGCTCTCCAGCTTACCCAAGCTCAGAAGAATTGGTCTTGTGCGCGTCAGCAATCTGACAGACGAGGCAATATACGCTCTTGCTGAGCGATACAGCACTCTAGAACGCATTCATCTTTCCTACTGTGATCAAATATCGGTCATGGCTGTTCACTTCCTACTGCAAAAGCTCCACAAGCTCACTCATCTGAGCTTGACGGGTATCCCTTCTTTCAGAAAACCCGAATTGCAGCAGTTCTGTCGTCAACCTCCACAGGTCAGTGGCGCAGATGCTCATACCTAATCAGTTGTTGATAGTCCTTTAGGAGTTCAATATGAGCCAAAGGATGGCTTTTTGTGTCTACTCGGGCAGCGGCGTTGCTAAACTGAGAAGCTTCTTGACGGACTTATTCAATACGATCACGGAAGATATGAACGCTGACGATGATGAAACGGAGTACGATGACGACTTTGACGAAGGATTTGTTGAAGGTGCTATGGATGCTGATATGGAGGGTGGAATGGATGGTGATGTTGACGAAGATTTTATGCACGATAGAAGATATAACTTCCACCATACGCCTCAGCCAGCTTCCTCCACCCTCCGCATGCACCATCACCCAGAAATCATCACTCCTGTCTCGCAGCACCCCGAGCTTACAATGCAGCGTGATATGACCTTGCGACCAGGACATGTCTCCATTGCGTCATCTCCAGCCGTGTTCTCTGCTAACAGTCAATCGGCGCCTGCGCCATATGCTCTTAATCTGCAACCCGTAGCGGAACCGTCTAATCCCGTTATGAGACGTCCTCGCTTTGGTTACCAGCCCGTCATTGAGATTTCCACTTCCCCCCCTCAGAGCGATGTTGCATCCAATCGCAGTACTGGCACACAATCGAATGGAGCGGGTTTTTTCCGCACATACCAAGAGCCATCATCATCTTCTGGTAGAAGTAATGGCGCTCTAACGCCCGATTACAACTTTGCAGAGATAGGTCATGGTCGGGGCACAGAACATGATAATATCGACCACATCGGTCCACCACCTCATCAGTTGGCAAGACACAGTTTTACGTCAACCGCGTCATTCAATGCCGCTGCAGGGCCTTCGGCCCAGGGCATCACCCAAGTGATGCACTCTGCGAATTTTGATTTTCGCCACGGGCAGAACCCCGAACGTCATACTTTAATGATGGAACAAGCAAAGATGACTAACAACTACTATCCTACTCCTTCTACCGGATCTTCCGACCGCCTCGTGCCATGGCCACCCATGCGCACTGAGCCCTTGTACGACGTCCCGTCGCACAACAGCCAAGAGTTACAAGCATCTGTTCAGGCTGCTCTCAGCCCTCCGACAGACCCCCGTGACACTGAAGGAAGAGGCAGGAGTGTCAGGAGAAGCTTTCGAAATACCTTCCACGCTGCTGAGCATTTTTTCTTCGGCCGCGGGTCGACTTCGAATGGGCAGGTCCCTGAGTCAAGTGTCCCAAACCCTTGGGCCCCAGGAAATGTAAATAGCACCGGCGATGCAGCTGGGAATGGCGGTCAGCCTCGCTAAATGAGTGCTGAATAGCCCAAAGTCCGTGTCCGCAGTAAGTAGACCCACAAGTTCATAGCAAGCATGGACATTACACATGTTCTTCCCCCCAAACACATTGCGCAACCTTTTTTTGTTGTAACCTCAAAACTCGGAATATTTATAACCATTACGCCAGTTATTGTTGTTGTTCTTTTGCCTGTATCGTTTACCACTAGTGCTGTCGTGTAGGTTTTATGGTACTTATAGTGTTTATGTAGAGGCAATCAGAGTTGTTCCTGGGTAAAGAGGTGTGGGTAGTTACTAGTTAGCTCTCACGATCTCAACTAAGTCACACTCAACTACTGGCACTCGCACAAGCAGGGTTGTCGAGACCTGCTCTACCCTGCTACGCTGTCGGGAAGCTGAGGCAAGCACATTCTAAGTTCCAACATGAATATTCGTGCAGTTAGGGTAAGCTGGCAACCTGCTAAGACGCATAAGCTGCTCATTTTCACCAGGTCGAAGATCTTGCAGGTATGCAAGACTGCAACCTGCACAACCTGCCTGAGAACTATACGATGAAATACTGTTCGCTTCTTTCGCCTCATTTCTTCAGATCAGAGATTGACAAAATTGACGACCAGATCTATATCACGCATTATCCTGGCCTTCGCTTTCGTATGTGGCGGAGGACCACAATGGACGGATTGTTGGTTATATTCTGGCAAAAATGTGCGTTAAACGTTTTCGCAGCTGAACTGTATTCTAATTGAATCGCAGGGAGGAAGTTGATGAGCAAGAAGGGCAATCTGCAATTAATCATGTTCCTCATGGGCATGTCACCTCGATATCTGTCATGAGATCATACCGCCGACTTGGTCTGGCTAAAAAATTGATGCTCCAATCACGTAAATTCGCACTTTGTCCAGGCTAGAACAACCATTGACATGTTCTTTTATTTCAGAGGAAGCGATGAGCAGCATCTACCGCGCGGCATTCGTGTCTCTCCACGTCCGCAAGTCGAATCGTGCAGCACTAAGTCTGTATCGCGACACACTTGGGTTTACCGTCAAGAATATCGAGGAAAAGTACTGTAAGTCTCTGGACCGCTTTGTCGTCTAGTCATTTGATCGCGTGTTCTTTAGATGCCGACGGAGAAGACGCATATGCGATGCAGCTCACGTTCGAGCACTAATGCGAAGGAAACTGTGGGGCAGATTGATAGTTTACAGCTATATATTTGACACTTAACGAATTACTGTCGCTCTTGCTGGCTACGGTTTTGCGTCGCTCCCCCCCTGATCAAGGTAGCGTCTCTTCCATTGCAGCAGCTGCTTCAACATCCTTCTGAGCCTCAGTATCGTCACTCTCAATAATCCCTCTAGCTGACATGACAGCTTCCCGAATGATCTTTGCCGTATCGAGCCCTAACTGGTAGTAACCGTCGTTAAATCTTGGATTGAACATATTGGTATGCGCTTGAACTTCATCTGCAGCCTGATGATTTCTTGCGGGAAGGAAATGCGCAGCTACAGGAGACGTTCGCTGAGGAAGGATGACGAACGTCCTCGGCGACGAGAATGAAGGTGGAGCTGGTGGAAGTAAGGTGTAAAATCTGGAATGAACTAAAAGTCAAGGCATCCAGTGATTCTCGCTCTGGTGGACGTACGAGCGGAATGTGACTCCAAGATGTACTTGTACATCAACCAAATCTCGCATACGTTTTCGCAATGCTTCCTCATCCCAGAGGTTGCGAACGTAATTCATGTGATCAGTAGCCCAGCTGTATCCAGAACCAATGTCGTCTCGGCGGTAGTATGCTGTTCCAGCGGCTGCGCCAGCCACTAGCGCTCCACCAACAGCATACGCTGCAGGTGCCCACTTTGCCCAACCACTTTCCTCAGTTGGGGCCGCTGCTATTGCAAGAGGGGGTTGCCCAGAGACGGTTGATGATGCTCCTTTCTTGCCAAACAATGAGAACACATCTGAAACAACAGTGCGGGCTGCACCGGCGTATTCCACAGCCTTGGTTGCACTATTCTTGAATACAGTGGGGTGAAGACCAAGGTACTTCAAAAGTTTAGCGGCAGTAGGAAAACATCAGTTGACAGTTAACCAACTCACGGGAGTGTCGAATGCTATGCACGCGATTATGTTCGGCCACAGTGGAGCGTTTTTATCAGGTCTGGAATTCACAAACGCAAGTAGAGCGTCAGCAGCAAGTAACCCTCCCATGCTGAATGACTTTAATCAATCATGTTACAACCATCATGCTTGAATTCCTGCTCACCTGTGGCCACATAGTACAACTCTGGTTTTCCCGGCTCCGCCCCCTTGACCATCCGCAACTTCTCTTTGTACGGTCAGAGTAGTTAGCCAGTCAGCAAAGTGTTCTACCGCGGCGTTCTGAAGGGGAGTCTTCATCTGCGTGCAAAGTTGAGGTGATTATCGCGCACCAATTGTCCTTTGGTCTGCACAGCTCATAGTCAGCAGCGTAAACGGCGACATGAAGAGAATGCCCTAACCTCGTATGCGGGGAACACTATACATTCCACATTGAGGTTCTCTATGACTTCTGTCAGGACATGCTCTAGCCTCGAGGGGAAGTTCTTGAATGTCGTATCAGTTCCCTTGAATCTACGCGTTGTTAATTGGGGTGCATTCCAACTTGCAATGTTTACACTAACCCATGAATGAAGACGATGAGAAGGAGGTCAGTAGGAAGCTGTTTGATTACTGCCAGACTATCTGCGCTCTTGTCTTCTGACGGCGAATCTCCCGAGCTCATGCTTGCGAATGATTGAGTATACCAAGTGTTGGCTTTTTAGTGGTTAATTATGAGATGGGCGGGTAGCGAGCGAACGGCGGTAGATAGAATGTAAATCTCAGCCTATTGAACTCGTGTCGTAATGGAATAGCCATGTACCTAGAAATGTAACTAATAATGGGTCAGTAAAGTAACTGTCTAATATGAATGAATACTCACATAGATCTCGGTCTTATAGATATTCGCTCCTCGTCGTATGTCCTTTATCACATACTACGTTACCGTTACGCTAATACAAGTTTACCGGGTCCGTATGTACCTGTATAGACGACTGCACAGTCTCGGACTCATTTATAATAAGCTTAAGCAAAGTTAGTGAGAGGGAGATATTCTGGTCCGGACTCCAAAGTTGTATTAACATTCGCTGTATAAAGTCTGTATCTGAGTATTCGATGATCGAACTTGCGCACTGCGCTGCCGCAAAGTCGCCATTAAATCTAATATCGATTATGGTCGTGGACCCGGGTTGCATTACCTCTAATCAAGAAACTTCAGGTGCAGGTGCCTCATACGGCAAGCCCAGTGGCAGGAAAGAGATAGAAGAAACTAATCTGAGAGAAGGCTCGAGAGATTGAAGATGAGATGGAGACTTGAACAGAATGTACTACAGGGAGTAAAATGACAGGGCAGATAGTTCAAATCGAGGTGCAGATGTGTTCTGTGACTCAAGGGCAAGTGAGAGGTGCCGGTGATGAACTTCATCATGGGCCAAACAAAGGGCTTCGTATGTGCAAGCCGAAGAACGAACCTCGTTTCAGAAACTACCCAAACGGAGAGGGGCATTGTATGTGTAAACCGGTGACTCGAGGGCTGAGTCACGAATGAAAGTTTGACTGGCGTCGTGAACTGATTCATTGAACTCAGTCGACCACGACTTGAGTCCAGTATCAAGGTTTTTACCTTTCACAATTGATCGTGAATGAAAATACTGCAGACTAGAATGTTTGTTTCGCACAGACCTATAAATATATTGGGTGGGCGTTGTGAATCTCCTGCACGATACCAGAACGAGCTCCTCAGAGCTTCAAAAGATCCAGTGCAGATGAATTCTGTGATATAATGCAGATCAGCAAACGACTCGGAGAGAAACAGAGAGAAACCGACCTCATTTGGAGCGAACTGCCGCATGACATCAAGCTTCAAATCAAAATGTTGTTATGAACCACAAATCGTACACGAGCAAGGCGCTCGTACAAACAAAATCACGGCACTCGCCCTCTGTGAAGTGCCAGTGACATGATTGATTCCCTGTAGCGAAAGCAGCATATTGTCGTCGCGAAAATGACTGCGGAGACCCTTACGTGCATTAAGGGTTACCAGCAAGGAGTAGCACTGGTAAACTCAAAATGACCATTCCAATCTCGTGAACAGAATATTTATTTTTGATTATACTTACGACGACCCAGATAGACATAGAACGCAATGTAGATGAAAGTATCGGGCCATATTGAAATCTGTAAGACGTCTATATCAGGATCACAACATCGAGCCACTTATAATGTATTACATACAGAAATGAAGGACACGCAAACGCTGATGAGCAGACCATTACTGATGGTAAGAAGAATCAGCTTATCTGGCACGGTATCAGGCCTCCGGAAACCAGTGCAAAATTTTTGGAAGAACGTGCAGATGTAGGCAGCGATAAGGACATCTGCGGCAGCTGCAACAGCATTTACAGACATTAACGCCCCTTGAGCGTCATGAGTTCGATGAAGACTGTCAACTTGATGCTAAAGGGGTAGATGCATTACCCGAGCTGCCTGATATTTTGGACGTGACTAACGCTCTTGCAACGTAAGCTTTGATATCACATATTAGTTGACTGATATTGATATTGAAGGGGAAACATACTCACCGACAAATTCGGCAATATGACAAGGGACAGGACGGACATACAGTCATACTCTCGTTACTTACTGCGTGGAAATCGGCAACTGTGCACTGGCGGAAACCACACATACATATATAGACATGCATGGGGAGCGAAGGAAGCCGTATGGACGATCAATACGGATGGATCGATTTAGAAAGCCCTTTGAATGATCATGAGCGCTGTGAAGCCATCGAACAGAATTTCGACCTGTAATGCAAATGAACACTTAGACGGAAACCATGAGCCACCGCCATGCAACCCACAACTGGACTCCACGTGTCCGAGGTCACTAATGATGTCGAAATCGGTGATGGAGCATGCATAGGCTTTCATCTGGAGTTTAGGCCGCAAACATACAGCGCGCTCACCTGCGTGCGTAATCAGAACTTGATGCATTGAATCTGACATGCAGCGCCAACCTAAAGGAAACATTAATGTCAGATGAGCAGCATATATCAGTCATCCTACGTAAATCTACCAAAAACTTGATGCGCCCACGAATCCGATGAATATCAGGTAACGTACTGAGTAGTACGCCCCAGGTCTGCACACATTGCAAGTGACTTTGTGATTGTGAGCTTCTGGCGGGGAACAAACAGCAGGAGAGCATGCCTCCGTAGAGCCTGCAACCTGAGAGTTTCAACAGATAGACTATTCGACAAAGAACCCTTACATTGCGGGGACCACAACCCCAATCGAGAGCGCTCTAAATATGGACAATAAGTTATGTAGTCGTAAGGGGTATACGTACGTGTTATCCAAAGCACCCATGGCAGAAACGCGTTTATGTTTGGATGAAGTTCCTGGGATGGGAGACGATTAGATGTTCCATCATAAATACAAGAACAATCTTTTGTATGCTTCTGTCCATGACTAGAATGTGAAGGCATCTAAATGTGGAATATCAAGAACGTGTCACACTTAAAGTTCGAAACACCGAAGCAACAATTGATAGGGACCACAGCCGCATCTGATGCAGCTTATAGTTGGATAGAGGGGTATCGCGTAAGATGTGATAGTGTTGCAAGACCTCCGAATGCGGAACATCAGACTCACAAAGGCATTGCACGTCAAGCAGCAATAATAAGGGCGTTGAGTTGTACCCCAAAATGTCTGGTGCATTTGTAGACTCGCGGATGTGAGGTGAAATGAAGTGAGGTCATGTTGTCTTTGTCGATCTACGCTGTTATGCAAAACATGATGAACATCTCATGTCGAGTACCGTCGGATACTCCGTGATCGAACGGGATTGCTCAAGAATACTCATGTCGTATACCTGACACACGATCAGCGTCGAGACCGGAACGGGAACGAAGAGCGTTTATGACTCACCACTCGTGTTAACGTTCTAATCACACCACCTTGGGGTAGCCGTCTTCGCAGTTGCCTGGAACAGCATGAATGATTTTTAGTATAGGAGCGCAGATACAGTACTGTATAAAATGAGACTGCAACAGCACAGCCCTTCATGGTGGACACAATTTTGAGCTACCGTTATCTGTGCTCAAGCGCTTGGATTGTAAAAATTGGTTATACAAAGATGATACACTTGCAACAAGTCCAAACTAAAACGAGCACTAGATGATCTAGGAGGATGTTAACAAAACCACACAATACACCTCAACTTTGTGAAAGCTCGTATGACTGGCTCTGGTATGGTGCTTGTGTCTGAAGCACTAGGGAATGGGATTGTGTAGAGTTCTGCGAAAGGCTCGAATTGGAAGTCATCTGAGAGTCTTGCGACAATTGGAAAGGCCCAAATGCTGATTTTGGTGCAGTGTCTTTGGGCACTGGCGAAATATGGAGCGTGCCAGAACGGAAGTGTCTTGCTCTATCATTTCGGGTCACAACGGGAGAGCTGCGATACTCTATGCACTCAACATCCTCCCTCTCGGCCGGCGGAGAGAGCTGCCTAGGCCGGTTAGCGGGGGTGTGTTCAGATTCAGACTCAGGCCACTGGAGATCAGCGTCAGCCACGTCCACAATCATGCCCGTAACGATGGTGGCTGGATCGTCGGAGGTGGACAATGCTGCACCTTCTGCTGCACCGTTGTGAACCGTCTCTGGTGCTTGGATGCTCTGGATACTGACATCCGCTGCATCCTCCCGTAGGAGCTGTCGCTCTACTGCATCTTGCGATGAGCTTGATGAATCAGTGCGAGAACGATGCAGAGACATGTTAAGTGCCTGAGCAATCTCGCTGAGTCTACTGTGTCGTCGATCAAAGGAGTCGATTTGAGCGGCAATATTAGGGCGGAATGAGAGCGTGCTGAGGTCTGGTGATTGCGGAAGAGACGCAATAGATGAGGTGTCAGCTGGTGATGACAACTGAGCAAAAGATGGGAAATCGCGTCCTTTCGCAAGAGCGGCCTGCAGAGAAGCAGAGGGTTTATGCAGATTGACTCTGTGCACTGCAGGAAGTGGCGGTGTTTTCTCCGGCGGGGGAAACGAAGATGATTGATGGGAGGTATGAGGCGTTAAAGAGGTTGTGCTCAGAATTCGTGATGGAGGTGCTCGCGATGAGGCGAATGGCTGAGAGCCCGACGAGCCTTGATCCGTAGAATTGGCACATGACAAATGTGATCTACCTATGTACAAAAAGGTAAATTTTGTAAGTTGGTTGTTCAAAAACACGCAAAATACGCGTATCTCAGAACAGGTAAATGACATCAGGGACACGCACTGTTGGAAAGGGGCACTGGCACCGAGCTGCCCGATGACTCGGTCATGCTTTGAGCCTCCGCTGCATCCTGCTTTCTCATGCGCACGATTTCCTTTTTGCTCATTGGTTGAAGTTGCCAGATATGATCATGCCTGACATGAGAAGCAAGCTCGTCAACGGTTGAAAAGGTGAGTCTACACCAGTCCCAACAACAGAAGAATGTTCGTGGTGGAGAAGGTTGTGGATGAAGTGAATCTGATTGAATCATTGCAAACCTAAGCTATGCGAATAGATCGTGCAATATTTATGTGTTCACAAATGTGCAGCAGGTTAAGACGTGAAGTTGTTTATCTCTGTTTAATTCTGAAGCTTCCACTCGCTGTATTGACATTAAACGGACGTAAACGTCTGTGTAAGCAGCTCAAGCTATCCCTGACGTCAACATGCAATCCGGGTTTCAAGATTCTGACATTTTATCTTATCTCACCCTTCCTCAGGACTATAATCCTCTTCCAAGTGTCGATCCCATCGAGTTTTTGAAAAGACATTTACATGAGCTACCTCCCAACATCATACAGCGATTCTCACTCGTCACAACACCAAAACAGCGAACAACGATTACTGGGATACGTAATCGAAGACTGAAATTTACTGAATCAAGACCACGGTCTCTGAGCTTTGCAGTTGCCCGAAATACCTGGCCAACACTGTGGCAGGGCAGAGAACGACGAGGACAAGAAGAAGGGAAGGAGGAGCAGGAATGGGCAAAAATGAATTTCCTAGGTGGTTCAGAACAACAGGTGGGCAACTTGGCTAAGCTACTCGGTGACATGGAGGAAGAACGGGAAGCGGAGAGAGTACGATTTATCCAGAGAACGCAGGCGAACGATGATTTTGTCCCGGAAGAGGAAAGTGACAGTGAAGACGAAAACGATTCAGAATATCCTGAAATTCAAGAGCCTGAATCTCCACAAGAGGCACAGGCGTTGTTTGAAAGACGCATAAGGGAACGATTCATATATGGCTTGCTTGAAGTGAGTCTTGTCGCTTTGCATGAAAAGCCAACTCGAACAAATTTCTTGTCAGGGAGCAGATTATGATTCAGTTGATTGGGATGAGTGGCTTGATGTAGATGATGATAGAAATGCAGAAGAGCGGTGGTTTGACGATGATTGACGGACATCAGATATATTTAGTAGATTCTCGGTATCGTCCCGCCGGGAAGCTGCTCCAGTAGGATCAGAGCTCCGGATGCTGAATCTTTTTGCTTGCCCTCATCCATCTCGTCGGCCCACCCTAAAGCACCTAAAGCATGGCTGCCCAGATTCATCAAACCCCGAGCCTTTCATCCGATATTCAGCGAGCGCTGCAACAAGCCGTCGGCGAAGTCAATAATGCATTTACGCAATCCCAGGACAACCAGTCGAAAAAGAAACGCGTTCGTAACGATTCAACCGGTGGAGTCTCAGTAGACGGCTCTCAGAAGAGGCAGAAGCGAAAGAAAATTTGTACTGACGATGTGGATGCATCAACCGTTCAAGTCAATCAGCAAAGTGTCGAGATGGAGAAAGATAAAAAGAATAAAAAGAAGAAGACCGACAAAGGGAAGACCAAGGAGGTCGTACAGAACACTGTTGACACTCTTAGTCCTCAGTTGGTGGAAGATGCACCAGAGACCCATCCAACGAGCTCAGTCGATTTTCTGAATGCTGTTGTTGCTGCTGCATCCGCTACAGCAGACTCGCAGCACTTGGATGTTTCACCGTACCAGGCACATTCTTCTTACCAGGATCATCATATCATGCCAAATCTACAGCATAATCACTCCTCACCTCCTTACATGACGTATCCTCCCATAAATTTCCCCTTTCCCTCTCCAGCACATCCTTACGGTCAGTCTTCATCGCACTCTGCAAATCTTCTTCCCAACTTGGGGTTCCCCGACGTCCAGTTGGCGTCAAATGACGAGATTCTTCGTGCATTGCAAGAGCTGGATATGTCCAAACTTGCCGGGGTATTGAAGACATTGGGTGATGCCGCTGCAGCAGCCAATGTACCTCTTGGTGTCCCTCCAGGGTTTATTCCGCATTTGCCTAGTCATTCTAACATGCATCCACAACCCCCACCTCAACCGATGGGACAACCACCTTCTACATCGGGAGCAATCCTGAATACTGCTCCCAAGTCGACCAAGACGACCCACAAACGTGTTTTGGACATGAGCCTTCCGGGGCCCGAACATGGCAATCCAGATCATGCTCACATGTTAGCTAACAAGTGGATGAACGCAACGAAACTGGCCGAGATGGTTAAAACACAAGGCAATTGACTTCCAAAGGTCGTGAACCATCGCTAATTTTTTACAATAGGTCTCGTTTACAAGAAGGGCAAATTTTCCGCAATTGAAGAGGAACAACTTCGGGCCGCTATCGAAGCTTTTAAAGCGGTGCGCTATTCATGATACTTGTCAACACGAATACTCAACATTGCAGATGACAGGGTCGAGGTCTTACAGACGATCAGCTCCAGGACATTATTTTCCAAAAGAACGAGAAAGGCAAAGACAATGCGTTTTGGTCGGAAATTAGTGGGTTTCCCTCTACTGTATGAAATGCCGGTCTAATGTTAATATCTCGATTAGCTTCCGCTCTCGCTCTACGCCCTATTATTGCCGTTTATCACCATGTTCGTAGGGCATTCCATCCCAAGAAGCAACAAGGCAAATGGATGCCCGAAGAAGATGCAGTGCTGAAACAGTATGTCATTTCCGCCCTCTTCGTTCATTAACATCTCATATGTTGGCTATCAGAGCCGTTGCGGACCTTGGTCAACAATGGGAAAAAGTCAGTGAGATTGTAGGTCGAATGTCCTCCGATTGTCGTGACCGTTATCGCAATCACATCGCCAATCGCGAAGTCCGGGTGACAGGGGCATGGACAAAGGAAGAAGAACAGGAGTTGACGGCAATTGTCACGGAGATGACAATCCAACAGGGCAAGGATTTTGATAACGATGTCTTCTGGGGCAAAGTGAGTGATAGAATGGGGAATAGGCGCGGCAGACAACAATGTCGAATCAAATGGTCAGCGCCTTTGATATGCGATATCTATAAATTTGACTTTGTTTTGCAGGACAGATTCGCTGAGTAAAACTGTCAAAAATGAGGGGCAAAAGCCACGTTGGAGCGCTCAAGATGCCTATATATTGGTCCATAAGTACGGCGGTAGTCTGCTGTCGGTTTCTGTATGCTTATTTATGTTGACAGGGTCGACTCCATGAACGTTAGGGACGATACTGAGATCGACTGGAAGACGCTGCCTGATTCAGATTGGAATTTATGGAGTGCCCACTCACTCCAACGACGCTGGTTGACGATGAAGAGAGGAATCAAGGGGTACGAAGACATGACCCACCAAGGTTCGTTCTTCAAGGACCACCAAGTGATTGTTGCTTATCTTACCTGTAGAAATCATGGATATCCTACGAGTCAAGAAAGCTCACCTTCCTCCCGCTTCGGCAGCACGTAAACGAAAAGTCATCAGCGCAGCAAACATTGATGAGCCGGCGGACCCAGAGCCTGGAGACGCGGGGCCAAGTGGTACACAAGAAGGTGCATCTGATAGCCAAGATAGAGATGCTGATGGGTCAACCGATGATTCGGATGCTTGATTTTATTGCTATAGTTATAAACACCAACATACAGTTATTGTTACCGTAATGCTTCTCAACAAGTTCTGACTTCGAACCAACTTTTGACAAACTTGAGACTTTACATTGATATTTTGTCGGTCAAACAACTCCTAGAAGACCGGCACTTCCTCTCATCCCCCTTCCTCTCGCAGCAGCAAAGCTGATGCACACGCAACTGAGCAGAAAGCCGGCGAACCTTGCAAGCTCGCTCAATACAAGCACAGCAAAAATTGATGAACGACTTTACCTGAAAAATGCGACACGAGATATGGACCTCTCCTCGTGGGGCGTACGCGACGATGTGAATATGGAGCGCAATACAGCTGGTGTGACTGGGAATCGACTAGATGGATTAGGTGGTGGCGGCTGTAGTGGTGGCTGATTTGACAATCTCGTCGCCGTAATGGTCGACGAGCTCCGCGAGCTGGTGGAGGTCATTGCTCAATCCCGTAGTGTTCCAAGTCGGGTAACGCCGAAGCCTGCGTCCTGATGTGGAGTTGTGGAAGTTTGTGTTGGCCGGGTATGGACAAGTAGACGCCCCCGGTGGCCCAAACAATTATCACACAGCTCGCGACAAAAGACAACGACAGAGGTTTTCATTGCTATGCTGGCGCTCCACTAGCATCCTGTTTGTTAGAACCCTCCTTCCGCGCGTGTACACCCCAAACTCTTCTATCGCTATCTCAAACGCATTATGAATAACCCAGATGTTGAGGACATGAAGAGGATCGTCGATCGGCTCCCCCAAACAGATTCAGAACGCCGAATCGTTCGTCACTTGGTTATTCGCGACCCCAATTGCGGGGTAAGTGACGAATGGGTTGCCCCAGAGATGGTTTTCTGTCGTCATTTGGAGTCGGTAGTGCTCTCTGGGGTAACAGACACGTCTGACAAGACTATTGTCCGTCTCGCACGTGAAAACTGCAATATACAAGGTCTTGACCTTACTGGGTGCAAGTACGTCACTGACGTGAGCATCATGGAACTGGTCGCGAAAACACCTCCTTTGCAGTGGCTGCAGCTCAGCGGGGTAGTACTCACTGATGCTTCAGTCTCAGCAATCGCTAAGACCTTCCCGAAGCTTGTGGAATTGGAGCTGAACGACCAGCCGCTCATGACGGCTGTGTCTGTTCGCGACATTTGGTCATATTCTAGAAAACTTCGCACTTTGACGTTGGCCCGCTCTCCTCAGTTAACCGATAGTGCGCTGCCTTCGCCGATCAAAACCCTCACTCCTCAGCCTTCTGGGGAGAAGCCGTTACCAGCTCGTCCTCATACCTGGCTTGATCAACTTCCACCCCTAATCCTACGACATACCGCAATCGATCTTCGTGTGCTAGATCTGAGTCACTGCCCGAAGCTGACCGATGCGAGCGTTGAAGGCATCGTGGCACATGCTCCATTGCTCCGGTCACTTGCATTGGCCGGGTGTCCTAACCTTACTGACAAGGCTGTTGAAAGCATATCCAAACTTGGCCTTCACCTCGGCAACCTTACCCTTGCACATTGCCCGCGAATTACCGACAATGGTATTGTGTCCTTGACGCGATCATGTACCGAGCTTCGATCTGTTGACTTGGCATGTAAGTGTTGATCTTGTTGAGCATCCAATCGTATTGCATGCTGACGCGGAACTAGTCTGCCGACAGTTAACTGATATGGCTGTATTTGAATTAGCTAGCCTAGAACAAATTCACCGCCTTGTTCTTGTCCGTGTACCAAAGCTGACCGACAACGCTGTCTATTTCCTTGCGGACCATACCCCTTCATTGGAGCGATTGCACCTTTCATATTGCGACCGCATCACACTCAAGTCGTTACATCACCTAGTCCGAACTTGCAATCGCCTTGTGCACCTTACTGCGACTGGTGTACCTGGTGCAAGGCGGACCGGCGTCGGGCGGTTTTCTGACCCGCCTCCTGCGGTATGTCCCAAGTCACTGGTATCCTATGACGTAGATTCTTATCATCGTGTCAACCCCAGGATCTGGACCCCGATCAGAAGTCGGTTTTCCGTGCCTTTAGTGGTCCGAATATAGCGGCGCTGCGCAAGTTCCTCGACAAGGAGAAACTGAGACGCGAACAAGCGGAGGCTCAGAACATTCCATTTGTGCCCCGATCGGATGATAGCATGGATCTGTATTAGGGGGGGAACGTTGTGACCTGGCGGTCGATCTTCAGGGCTTCAAGCTTCAGGGTTGCGCTACCATACCTTATGTGTCCATTTTATTCATCGTGTCGACGACTTACTCACCTCGCATACTTCACGTGCTATCACACTTGACGTGCTGTTGTGCTTCTACTAGGCCTTGACACTATTTCTATAATGATAACGCCAATTGCGTTGCAGTCAACGTGGTTCTTCTGTTCTTCTGAATCTTAGGGAGGCCGGTATACCTGAATTCTTATTAGTAGCGCGCGGAGATAAGTCACTGCGGAAACGAGAATGTAGCTCCACCAGTGTAATCCGAGGGTGTTTAGGTGTACAACCCGACGTGGTACAGACGTAAGACCTAGACTGAAGTCGACGTGGACGAAATTCACTGCGGAAACGAAATTGTAGCTCCACTAGTGGTGGCGCCTGAAAACTTACCACATGGCCAAGCGTTGTATGGTTATCAACCCGAGACCAACCCGAGAAGAATATTGCTGTAGATATGATGCTGGTAGACTCGGCAATCTAATTATAAGATACAGTGCCTCAGTCACTCGTCATCTGGCATCAAGTACTGGTCCGAATTTCATTACTGCGGTCGCTAAACTTCACTAACCGGTGTTCTTCCACCCACGTTTTGTCTTCTTCAGCGTTCCAAATTCGTAATTGGTTGGGAAACACTGAAATACCGCACGCACCGTTCTCCCAGCCAAACCTACCGGCTACCCGCTCGTTGTTGCTAACGAGTGAGTGCCGTCGGGGACGGCCTCATGTCGCATCATCCGATCATGGGTGATTAATCTGAATCAATTCGAATCCTTCCCCTGAGATTCGTGCGCGCTCTTTGCATCCAAGGTAGGTGGGAGGATAGTGATGATATGAACCAGATAAATTTCTAGTTCGGTTGCCAACCAACTTCTAGTTCTGTAGTTTGACATATATTATTATATTTATACATATCGCACAGCATCGCTCTAAAAGACTACTTGCGAATTCAGAAATCAATGCACGTGGACGTACGCGTCTGGTTGTCGCGGACCGCAAATAAAGTTTAATCTCCGCTTATGGATCTTGGAGAGCTCTCTGACGTATCGGTCTTTTTATACATATACACCCATTAGTATTTGGCCTACATCATCTCCAACTAATAATTGCATCATCTCCACTACTTTCGTTCGCAACGCCCCATTAATCGTCTTTCATTCTTAATTCCGAATCCCTCGCAGTGCTCACTAACAGGGCAACGACCCAGACTAAAAGTGTCAGTCGTTGGGCAGGTATATGCTCGCCAGGGTTGGGTCGCCCTCTACAACCATTGCAATCAATTACCAAATTCGCCTTCGCTGTCACGTTAAATTGGTAGCGCAGTCGCTGCAGGTCGTCTCGAACGTACTCACTGAGTTGTGTCTGGCGGGCAGCCAAGAGGCTCCCAAGGTCTGTCATCCGTGTTCAACACTCAGGGTTTTCTCTTTGGCGTAATTTCTTACATATTCTTATGTACTATCACAGACCCTTTTGACGAATGGAGAATGGCTCTCCCGTAGCGCATTTAGCTCCCTCATCTCGGACGCGCACGACATCTCGACGCCAGCGACCGCGTACCTCTTCATCACCCCTCTCCTTGCTGGAACGCCGGACAGCAAACGCGACTGTTTTCACTTCTGAGCATCTGATGTCCTTTTCAGTCGATACATCTTCCATACACGAGATTTCCTCTGCAGTCGTGTCTCGTTCTACTCGGCAGTCACCACGGTTTTCCCAGCAGTTTGTTCCACTCACACCCATCATCGCATCTCCGTCGAGCACCTCCGCGGCGAGCATGACAACCAACGTTACCTTTAACCTGAACTCCGACACGGATGATGAAAGGGATGGAAAATTTGCACACAGCGAGTCTGCTGCAGACGTGGAGATGACTATTCCAACCCCAACTTGGATGGCCACACCTCCAACACCACCTCCAAAATATGCCCATATATCTTCAACCTCTGTGTCCTTGCGACCACATTCGTCTTTCGTGACTGCCTCCGCCTCTTTCCCGGACCCTACGTTTGCCAGCATATCTGAACAGTCCCCGGAGTTGACTATGAAGCGTCGAGCGTCACTTCCTCCAATATCTGCTGTGAAACCCTTACCCGTCATTCCTCCCGCCGCACCGCCTTTGGCATTGACACCTCAACGTGACAATCCCGCTAAGCAAGGGACAAGATCATCCGGAAGTCCGTTACGTGTGAGTATCGGTGAACACAGTGAGGAACGATCACGTCGAAACGGCAAATCAGCAGCACTTCAGAAGAAACCATTGTTTCACATGCCGCAGGATGATTCAGATAAGGAGGATGACGGCAAGCTCCAGAAGTTGAATGGCCATCATAAGAATCCAGCTGAGGAGTCAAGTTCGGAAGCTGCCGATCATCCGCTTCAGGGAAAGGATGATGATCTTATAGGAAGCAAGGATGACGTGAGAAAATGTCATGCACTCTTGGAGTTGCTCTCCACGGAAGTCGGATACCTTTTTGATCTTAAGGTTCTTGTTACAGTGAGTCGATCGATCCGGATTGGCCAATTCTCGAGATGTTGATCGTCGCACGTTTCATCAGGTGTACCTTAGGCTTCTGCCCGGTCTGACGACTCGTCCACCACATCTCCCTTCTTCTAGCCTTGGGATGTCCCATTTCTCCCGTTCCGCCTCTCCTGCCTGCAACCCACCTTCATCGAACCCCGCTGTCCGCACACAATCTGTTTACCACCTGTCGGCCCCCGTGCCGTTCAGTCCCTGCGAAAACGTCCCCCTTGTGGTCAGTGCCCCACCAGCGCTGGTTGCTGTAATAAAGGAAAAGTATCCAATGCGGCGTGTATTCTCCCCCGCTGACCTTGGCTTGATAATTCGTAATATGGAGGACATTCTCAAGTTTCATGAACAATTAGTTTGTGAACTAAGGGCACTCGTTTCCCCTCTCGGCTTTCCGATGATTCTCGATGGGGCTAGTGGCGGCGTGACGATCATGCAGAAGGAATATACCCGCAATTTGGAGACATTACACTTAGCACTTGATGCAGTTGCCACAAAATTCATTGAACGGGTAGGTGCTATGCGATGCTTCCTGTCCCACAGTACTGAGTCTCCTTTAGGCACATGAATTTCATTTGTACCAATCGTTCTGCTCCGGACATCCTGAAGCATTCGACCTTGTCCGAAAAGTCCAACAGGAGTTCCCAGCCGAATGGGAGACGTTCGAGCAATCATGTGCCACCATAGCTGCTGAAATGCGCATCAATGGCTCGCTTCACTCTATCACCGACAAAGAAGCTGAAGATGACGATGGCGCAGACGGTACTCTCAGTGAAAACGAGTTGATCGCAAGGAGGCGACGGCATTCGCTTTCATCATTGGACGCGCCTAGTTGTCGGCAGAGTATTTCCCGCGTCAGCTCTAACGCCAACCTCAAGGCATCTGTAACCAGTACGTCTGAAAGTGGGCACTCAGACCGGGGGCAAACTGGCATGAAGTCGAAACTCGCATTCATGGATTATCTCATTAAACCTGTTCAACGTATCTGCCGTTATCCATTACTCCTCGATCAACTCCAAGATCATCCACGAAGTGCAAGCGGCAGCGGCGAGTCAAGCTCCGTGTCTAATGCGGAAAGCGGATCGCGCGATGCGGAGGTAAATTCGGTGCAAAGTGCGCTGAATGTCATGCGGGCCGTAGCCAGCTCCGTGGATGAAGCACGACGACAGCAGGATCTAGCAATCAAGTCCTCCCTCATTGCCTCACGGATATCGCAGGGACTAACCTTAGTAACGGCATTTTACACTAGACCTGCATCACACAATCTTTCTTTCGGTTTCCTGTCGTCCCTAGGCCCTTGTCATCTCGCGGGATCATTGGATGTGATCCACTACCCCAGTCTCAATGCGAGTAGCAACGGCACAGTCAAAGCCAAGTATCTCGGGGCTTTCTTGTACCCTGGGGGTTACATTATTCTTGCCAAAGTTCATAAAGTGAGGACATACGAGCCAAAACACTGGTTTTCCTTGGCGGGGTTTGACCTAGTCGACTCGACGAACGACGAAGGTATGTAGGTTTCAACTTATGGACACACAACGTTTAATAGCACCTTCGCTAGCCCTATTACCGAGTTGGTTTCGCCTTTCTGGGCGAGGTCACATTTTCGAGTTCGCAGCGTCTTGTCGCCGTGAGAAGGATGTCTGGAAGGCTGCTATTCATCATGCCCTGGAACTTCCTGCTGCATGGACGAGTGAACCGATATGCAGTTTTAGAGGTGATTCTAAAGGGGATTTCGTGTTGTCAATGCTAGAAGATACACCATACGAAGTGATCAGCCCTTTGCCCACTATCCAGTCTATTCCCGAGCTGGATAATGAAGCAGCATCTAGCAGAGACGAGAACCACTCACTCTCTGCCCATTCTGATCCACCGAGGTCGGGTCGGGCGTCCTACAAAACCGACCCATCTCAGAAATCTGACTCTGGTCATCAGCTCGGTCCTAGCCGTCGCTCATCCACCACATCCAATAGGACTTATCTTACCATGCTGTCAGAGTCGGATACAATTCATCTTGTACGCGCCACTGCCCCCGCACGTGAACAGGTCGATCGTGGACTCCTTGACGTGTTCTCGGAGAGCTGTCTCTCCGCTCGCTGCTATGCGCATACCCATGAAGAAGAACTATTTGAAGCATCGAAGGTGTCGCGGTCGTTCTCGAGGTCAAGCTCAGGATTGACTATGGCTGGTGCTATGAGTGTGGCTGCAAAGAATCGTCTGACCAAGCGGGAGAGTGTACTTGTCCCCAGGCGAAAGAGTTACATAGATGTTGGCGACATCCCTGCTGTACCTACCATCCCACCAGTCAAGCTGGCCAAACGCCGCCAACCAACGAAACTCAAGCTCGTTGCCGTTTCAAGGACTGCGTCTCTAGACGACGAAGTGAAACTAGATGGTGCCCCAGAGTCGCCTTCCCCTATGT